GTCCTTGGAATTCGGCCTCGGCAAAAAGCCTTTGTGAAAGGCACGCATGACAGCAATCAACCCTTGGAAAGTTGAGGGGGGGGCTTGCGCGAGGGCCTCACGGGGAGCATCTGTTGGTTAAAGGTACCCAAGGTACCTCGCAACACAAAGCCCTTGGAAAAAGGGCCTCTGCCCAAGAAGCCTCTTGGAGAAGGGCTCTCAGCGAAGACCACGCAGCGCAGCATGTAACTTTCGAGGACGAGATCCTCCTATGGCGTTACGGCCCGAGAGGTAAAAAGGGGCCCTCAGGGAACAGCCCTTGGCTTTTTGAAGAGCCCCTTTTAAAAATTGCCTGGCAGAGAGCATGTCCTTTGCAAATGGAGATAGCATCAAGCCCTTGGACAAGGGCCTCAAAGCAAAGAGCCCTTTGGAAGAACCAACCCTCAAGTGACAATATCGTGGAATAGTGCTGTCATGGCGTAATGCAAGTAAAGTCCTCGGAGAAGTAGCTCGCAGAACTTGGGAAAGGGATGTCAGCGACACCCTTTGGAAAATAACTTGGGGGCCCACAGGGCCTTGGAGCAAAGCCCTCTCAGGGGCATCAGCGAAAATGCTTGGCCTCGTTCCCCGGCCGAAGGCCCCGCGCTAAGAAGCCCCTGTAGAGGCTCCTCACAAGAAAAACGGCCAACCACAAAAAGTTGTTTGGGGAGCAGCGTCACAGCTACAGGCTCATGGAAAACGGGTTTTACGAAGACTTCTGTTGCCTTTACGAAATTCCCTTGTCACTTCCCTGCCCCAAGTTCTGCAGCAAAAGCGAGGAGTGGATACATGTTTCTAAACATGTACCGGATGGAAGCCAATGGAAAACGAGAGGTGTTTTCTGTGCGGGCTTTTCCAAAGTTACCCAAACCCCCAATAACACCCTACACCATAAACCATTAAAAAAAAGTGGACTAGGTAGGCCCTTGGGATGTTTAGTATTTTCCCTTATAGGGTTTAAGAGGATCATGTCTAGGAATCTTTTCAGAGGGTTTTAAGAACCTTGAGGCAACAGAGACCAGGTCAGCGTAGGGAGTAGCATGATCTTGGGACGTGCCCATGTGCAAAATGCAAAATGCAAACACCAGGAGCTCAGTGAAAAGCTGCAGTTCCTTGCGCGGCCCCGTCCGCATCTCCCAAAAAAAAGAGCCATTGAGAAGGCACACTGCGAGCAGAGAAACTTGTCGAGGCAGAGTGAGAAAGAGAAAAAGGGCGAACCCTAAACCCTAAACCCTAAACCCTAAACCCCAAAGGGCAGGGGCACTGCATGGGGCTGACGATTGCTGGGATGCCAGGTTCACCCTTGATAGCCCGGTAGTACCCTTTTGCCCTGTTTGTGGTTCTAGGTTCCCTTATATACCAACAACGGAAAGGGTACCCTGATAGTAATATGTATGGTTCCTGGGCCACCAGCTTTAGGGTTTTTGGAGTGGTTTGAAAGTGCAGATCTGGATTTGGAGTTTCAGCTGCAGATGCAGCATCACCAAAACAGGGTCCCAAAGCAGGGTCAGGGTCGAGGGCTGCGGAATGTGGGCTCCCCACATTGCTTAGCCCTAAAACTCCTGAACCCAAATCTGTGCAAGGGGGCTCGGAATGTTGCTCAGAACACGAAATGCTCCCGAAACCTCAGACCAGAAGTCCTGAACCCAGAAACTCCTAGTGGCGAAAACCAGGGACCCTAAACCCCCTTACTTGTAAATGGCGTAGAAGCCTTCTCCCGAACCTTCATACTCGTCAAACCTTAGTGTGGGTCACAACCAAGGAGAGGCCTGGTTCACGCTGAAGGTCAGGTTGCAAAGTATCCAAGTTTATCCAAGTCTCGAGGGCTCAGATAGTTGGGTTTGGCGGGAGCGTTCGGATTGGGGATATCAGGCGCGGCGGTCGTGTCGGAATAATTGCTAAAAGTATTCCCTTAGAGCCCCTTTCTAAATATCCTATAATAACCCTCAAAACCTTGTTCTAGTTATTCAGGCCCCTATATTACCCTTCAGGAAATGCACAGTGCTTCTGAAAGGTGCTGCATGCTGCCGCTGCTGCGGGCTCGAGGGACGCGGAACAGCCACAGAAGCAAGAAGAACATGTGTGGCAAGGCTTGCGTTTCAGTACACTCGCTGACATAGCATGCTTTGTTCATGCTATGCGTGGCTTCCCGTTTGCCAAGAACCTCTTTTGCAACGACTTTACTAGTAACTGGTACTAAGTCCAGCTCCCTCTAAGACGGTGTCGCAAGGACCTTAAGGATTTATGTGAGGAATGGGCTTGCTGCCGTGCATTCACGCACTTGCGGGTGCTTGTTCTCTTGAGCACACAAAGGGTCCTGGGTGAGTTCCTCGCTACGTAGAGGGGGCATTCCCTCGACAGACCTAAGCACTGTACCCTAGGCCCCTAAACTCTGAATGCCAAGCCCCCACTCACCCGCAGCAACCAAATCTTTTGCAAGCTGACGCTCTGCAAAACGCGGGCGACGTTTGGCGCAGCTGGCGCTGGGCAGCTGTGATGGTGTTTTTTCCTGAGGCGAACTTGCGACTGCCTACGAACTGCTTAAGAATCCCCCCATAAGGGTAATATCGGGATTATGTTTCATTTTTGGGGGTTCTTATGCAATTAGTAGCCTTTTTTGGGGGTTCTTAAGCAAATAGTAGCTGCTCATTTTGAGGTTACAGCTTGTTGGCCATGAGCTACGTTGCCGTCGCTGTCTCGGAATCCCGAAGAAGAAAAATCCTGCACCCGAACCCCACAACTCAAGGCATTCCCCTTTGGACTTATCAGCCCTGGACCTAAAGTAGAGTCTGCGGGGTTGTGGGGTACTTGAAGGGGCGCAGCAGACATCGGGAGTTCCTCCCAAAACCACCCTCGGCGCCGGGGTTTTCGGGTGCGAGGCATTTGCCTTCGGAGCAGCGCCGGCGCTGCCCATCACCAGGCGAGCTTGGGCAGCTGGGGGGTGGACTGGAGGCTTCCAGGTTTCGTGGATGGAGATTTCAGAGTCCATGCAGGGGGGTTTGCGGAAGTGCTTGGAACCAAATGAACCCTAAAAGGGTGTATGGCTCAGAAACCTGAATAGGACTGATCGTAGTATAGGGTATACGACCCCAATTTTAGGGTTCATTTGGTTCCCAGGCCTCGTTCTCAAAAGGCCCAAGCCGCTCTTTCTCTCTGAGTGACAAGGCCGGCGCCCAACCGCGGGCGAGCAGCGCACGAAGTGCCTGAGCGCAGCTGCGAGACAGATTTCATGGGCGCGGGAGGGGGGGGTGGGGTGGGGCGGGGAAAGGGGTTTCGGTTAGAATCGTCAGCGGTTGACCGGGTTGTGTTTTTGGGTGATTTTTTAATTTCCCTTCTTCCCTTTAAGGAAGCCTATTCACAAAGAGAAGGGAATTTAAGAACAACTCAGTTGATGCTTCTGGTCATTTGAGGGTTGGGCATGGTCTAGAGGTCATGGATTAATCGGCTGCCTTCGCGCTCCTAATATCAAGAGAGCCGGTTTAGGGTTTAGGGTTTAGGGTTTAGGGTTTAGGGTTTAGGGTTTAGGGTTTAGGGTTTAGGGTATGTATGCGCGTGCCACCCCCAAGGAGTTGTGCGAACCGACGCGAACCGACACGGGTCGATTGAAGCGAGACCTGACCCGCCTCGATCATTACCTAGTAGTACAGTAGGTAACCTTTAACCTTTTTGGGGTAGTATAATCCCTTAGAATCCCAAAGGTTAACCTTGAATTCCCCCAGGTTACTGGACAACTAGGATTACATCAAGTCAAAGATCTTGTACGGGCCTGACTCCATACAGTCTGACGCAAAGTGAGCTGCACACATTGATGCCTTCCAAATGAGACAAGTCCGAAGGATTCCGAAGTTCCGCCCACGCATGTACAGACGAACTCAGACTGACATTTACTAGTCTTGTTACACAAAACCAACACCTGTGGAGTTAACAGTGTTCAGGGCTGCAGGGCTTTGATAGGGCTTGGATAGGTATTTTGGGGGCATCCAGCAAGACGACCGAGGCGCGCCGTCAGCGCTGCCTGCAGCGTTGGCCGCAGGCGTTGTGGCAAAAAGGCACGAGCTTTCTGGTGGGGGTGTCGAAACCCGAAACCCTAAACCCTCTTTCAGGTGTGTGTGCAGGGGACGGCTTCGAAAAGCAAGGTGAGGAGTTGCAGGGGGGGGGATCCCCCGCATCTCGAAGTCTGAGGCCTTCGCCGAACTGTAAGCATGAACTGCTTCAACGTAAACAAGAAAGCCTTCCATGGCCTTTGTTTTGTTGCCCTCGAAGGGGTGGGGGAAGTTCGGGTTTAGAGTTGTTTTTGGCTTTGGGGTTCGACTTGTGTGAGGTGAGAAGCCTCCGAAGAGACCGTCCCTGTGCGCAATATCCTGAGGAATCGAAGGCAAACCCTAAACCCTAAACCCTAAACCCTAAACCCTAAACCCTAAACCCTAAACAACCCTAAGCCCCGAGCCCAGAAAGCCCTCAGGCGCTTTCGTGAAGCCTCGCAGACCGCTGTGGCCAGGAAGGTTCGGGCAGGGTGCTTAGCTGAGGGGCTTTAGGGTTTCCAGGTTTCCGGGGGGGCGGAGAGAAGATAAAGACGAAAGTTCCACAGCGTTCCATGATCAGCTTCGCGTCAGCTTCATGGTCATGGGACTTTTCCGTTCGCATTCGAGCGGATCGATCTGTGGAGCCCGTGCCGTCGCCGCTGCCTGAGAAAGGCTCAGAATTCCTTGGGGCTGCAACTTAGCATGCTGCAAGACTTTTGGAAGTAGCAACAGCAGTCGCAGCAGCCAGCAGCAGCAGTAGCAGCAGCCGCAGCGGCAAAACCATTCATCCTTGGTAATGGTGCGAGTACACCTTCCTTTTCGTAAAGTTGCACATGTTTCCTGCTTGCTTCGTGGCGATGTGGATCTCAAAGCAGGATCTTGGTCTATGTTCATCGATTATTGCAGCGATGGTTGCGAAAGTGCCGGTGGCGTCTTTTTTCTGGTCTTGTGCCGTCGGTGATGATGGGGTTGTGTTGTTCCCAGCTCATTCCCATCTACAGAAGAAGGTGCAGCGAAACCACCACGAGCAGCTCGTTGCACTGGGCGAGGCAGCCTATCTTGCAGCAAGGTCAAAGAAGCATCAACTTCTTGCTCCACGAGAATGCAAGGGACGACGAGGAATATGCGGAGCTTACCCAAATTTTCAGTGAACTCGCTGCCGGCTTGGGCACCACAAGCCGAGTTCAAGCGCTCGGCCTGGTTGATGATGACTATGTTGTGCCAGCGTTCCTCTTGGACGAGATGCTTGGTAGCCCTGTGGCACCCTTTACCCTTTTTTGTGCTCTGGGTTCCCTTGTAAAGTAACCAACCCAGAAAGGGAGCCCTTTATCATAGTATGGCTGGCGGGCTACCAAGGATGCCATGCTTGCGAAGTGACAAAGGCGAGCAGTGCCTCGCACTCGTGGAGCTCGAGCGGAAGGAGGTGGCGGTAAATACCAGACCTATATGACTCTTGGAGCGATGGTTGCGAAAGTGCTGGTGGCGACTTTTTTCATGGTCTTGTGCCGTCGGTGATGATGGGGTCTACAGAAGAAGCTGCAGCGAAACCACGAGCAGCTCGTTGTACTGGGCGAGGCAGCCTGTCTTGCAGCAAGGTCACAGACGCATCAACTTCTTGCTGGGTATTGGAACAACACATGGATCCACAAGAATGCAAGGGACGACGAGGAATTTGCGGAGCTTACCCAAATTCTCAGTAAACTCGATGCCGGCTTGGGCACCACAAGCCGAGTTCAAGCGCTCGGCTTGGTCGAGGAGTACGTTGTGCCAGCGTTCCTCTTGGACGAGATGCTTGGTAGCCCTGTGGCACCCTTTACCCTTTTTTGGGCTCTGGGTTCCCTTGTAAAGTAACCAACCCAGAAAGGGAGCCCTTTATCATAGTATGGCTGGCGGGCTACCAAGGATGCCATGCTTGCGAAGTGACAAAGGCGAGCAGTGCCTCGCACTCGTGGAGCTCGAGCGGAAGGAGGTGGCGGTAAATACCAGACCTATATGACTCTTGGAGCGATGGTTGCGAAAGTGCTGGTGGCGACTTTTTTCATGGTCTTGTGCCGTCGGTGATGATGGGGTCTACAGAAGAAGCTGCAGCGAAACCACGAGCAGCTCGTTGTACTGGGCGAGGCAGCCTGTCTTGCAGCAAGGTCACAGAAGCATCAACTTTTTGCTGGGTATTGGAACAACACATGGATCCACAAGAATGCAAGGGACGACGAGGAATTTGCGGAGCTTACCCAAATTCTCAGTGAACTCGATGCCGGCTTGGGCACCACAAGCCGAGTTCAAGCGCTCGGCTTGGTCGAAGAGTACGTTGTGCCAGCGTTCCTCTTGGACGAGATGCTTGGTAGCCCTGTGGCACCCTTTACCCTTTTTTGGGCTCTGGGTTCCCTTGTAAAGTAACCAACCCAGAAAGGGAGCCCTTTATCATAGTATGGCTGGCGGGCTACCAAGGATGCCATGCTTGCGAAGTGACAAAGGCGAGCAGTGCCTCGCACTCGTGGAGCTCGAGCGGAAGGAGGTGGCGGTAAATACCAGACCTATATGACTCTTGGAGCGATGGTTGCGAAAGTGCTGGTGGCGACTTTTTTCATGGTCTTGTGCCGTCGGTGATGATGGGGTCTACAGAAGAAGCTGCAGCGAAACCACGAGCAGCTCGTTGTACTGGGCGAGGCAGCCTGTCTTGCAGCAAGGTCACAGAAGCATCAACTTCTTGCTGGGTATTGGAACAACACATGGATCCACAAGAATGCAAGGGACGACGAGGAATTTGCGGAGTTTACCCAAATTCTCAGTGAACTCGATGCCGGCTTGGGCACCACAAGCCGAGTTCAAGCGCTCGGCTTGGTCGAAGAGTACGTTGTGCCAGCGTTCCTCTTGGACGAGATGCTTGGTAGCCCTGTGGCACCCTTTACCCTTTTTTGGGCTCTGGGTTCCCTTGTAAAGTAACCAACCCAGAAAGGGAGCCCTTTATCATAGTATGGCTGGCGGGCTACCAAGGATGCCATGCTTGCGAAGTGACAAAGGCGAGCAGTGCCTCGCACTCGTGGAGCTCTCGAGCGGAAGGAGGTGGCGGCAAGGGTTCCGGTTTTGCCCTCCGCCCAACGGTCACGCCACAGCTGCAGGCATGGTTGGGAAAACGTGTAACCACCACCCGAAAGCCTCCTCAGACCCTCACAAGTCCCGACCCACGCAAACCTTGCCCCTCTCCGCAGGTGGGCTTGTGGTGCACGCTCGGGTTTCTCAAGGGCGAGATGTCCAATGAAGCTACGTCTGACGGAGTTCGAGATCTTGGCAAGGAACAAAAGGGCCGTTTTTGCAGCAGGCAAGAGGGTTATGGGGTTTGGGGTTGGGCATGTACCAGCAGAGTTGCAAGCCTCACAAAGCTTGGGCTTCTGGACCACGCCTCGCCCGCATGCAACGGTCCAGCCAGCAAAGTTTCAGGGTTCTAAAGGGCCGACAGGGCGCAGATCAATCAGCGGGCTTCACGGGCAGTCAGCGCAAAGGCATCAACCTGATGTGGAGGGGACGCACTCGGATAGATGTCCGCATCATTCCTAGGATGGTAACTTAGGTTGGGATCTTAAGATAGATGATCCTCTTAAGATCGTTTTGATCCTAGGGTGGGGGCTGGGTGGTAGAATTTTCAATGAGCGAGACTTTGCCTATTTTCAGGTGTGAGATCACTACCCGTGTTCCGAACAGATGCGCCTATGTTCCCGAACTTGACACCCTGTCCCCCAGAAGGGACGGCTTGTGCCTCGAGTATCAATAGTTTTCGCCTCCTAGCTTCAGGTGAAGCCCACGGCCAGTGGTCCGAGCCGGACGGATGAGCTTGCGGGCCCTCGAGTAAAGAGGCCGACCGCTCTCTTTGAACTTTGAACTTTGAGGGCTTGAGGACACAGCGAAACCCGACCACCCTCCCCCCTCCCCAAGCCGTACGAAGAACTCGAGCCCGAGGGCATGGTTGTTGTGTCGAACTCGTTGAACATTGCTGTGGTTGCGCGATAAGAAGTTCAGCATTTGCAGGGCCTACGTGCGAGGGTTCTCAAAGGTTTTGGGGTTTCGAGGTTGATTAGTGCAGTTCGGCATACAAGTTTAGAGAAGGAAGGAAGGACAGACATACATAACAAATGAACAAAAAGAGATAGACAGAGAAAGCTACCCGTAGCCATTTTTGGCTCTGGAGGCTTTCGGTGGGGACCAGGCTCGATTCCCTCACAGGGCCCTTCTTCGGTGGGTAGAAGCAGAAGCTTGGGCATCTTTCTCCCCGCGGGATCCGATGTACAAGCGGGCATCCGAGCACGGGGGTCCCCTTGCCATCCAGGCCAATGTCCTGCCTGGAGCGCAGGTTTTTTTCATGCCTTGCAAAAGCAGAAGGAATGAGAAGAAGAATGAGAAGAAGGAGAAGAAGAAGAGAGAGAGAGAGAGAGGCTTTTTTGACGTGGACGTCGCAGAGCAGTATTGTCCTTGCGCGGTCGGAAGCAGATCTTCGATCCGGCTATAGAAGCTGGGAGCAGCTGTCGCACCTCGCTGTGTCAATGTCAGTAGCTGGGCGGAGCCGGAGCCTAATCCCCTCCCCCTAATATTACATACCCCGCCCCCCCCCCCCCATATACTATAATATGACCATAATGGGGGTATTTACAATCAAGAAGGGGGGTAGGGGGGGGGGTTTAGTATTAGGGGGAGGGGATTAGACCAGCAGTGGTCAGTCTATGGAGTGCAAGTCTATCGTGAACCTGTTGGCTGTGTCGTTCTGTCGGTGCAGTCAGCTCCTTAGGGGTATGGGTTTACGCCTGTGATGACAGCGATATGGCAGCTGCAGCTCCCCGCAAGTGCCGAGCTTCCCCGGGATGCCCCGAGTCTCTCGCGCAGGTCGCTGCAGGCGGAAGTGTAACGGCAACGCGGCCTCTGCAGAACGCTGAATCTGCTCCAGCGTCATTTCCTGCATTCCGCTGCCGCGCTTGCCAGGTTCCCTTCTCGCAAAACAACGTGGACCCTGCTTAAGAAGAGAGAAGAATGACAGAAGAGAAAAGAGAGAGAGAGAGAGAGAGAGAGAGAGAAAAAAAAACAGAGAGAGCGAGAGAGAGAGAGAGAGCCGTGCCTGCCATGATGAGAGTTTCTGAGATGCGTCGCAGGCTGCCCGTCATTCGAAAACCCGTTGCATGCAGCTTTGAAGCCTCTGGGTTTTTACGGTTTAGGGTCTGCGATGTTCAGACCCACACTAGGTGCCGAAAGTAGCCAGCAACCGGTCCGGCTAACCCTCAGAGCCTGAGTAGAGCCTTCAAGCGCTGCCAGGGCCGAGATGGAGCCGGATCTTGCGTACCTTGAATCAGAGGCCCGACCAGATCTTGAGCCCTGCGTCCCTGAACCTCGAAGCCTACCTTCGGGACCAGATGAACCCCAAAAGTGGGGAGTCATATACTCTATGCTACTATAGTTCCTAGTCAGGTATATGAACCATAAACCCTTTTAGGGCTCATTTGGTCCCCAAGGAACATTGTCAGTTTTTGTGGTTGTTTCGGAGTCCTGGGTTAGGCATTCAGTGCCTTGGGGTCTGTGGTTTGGACGTTATACAAACATTTGGAAACATCGTATGCAGCTCCACTGCAACCCCTTCACAGTCACGCTAAACGCCGAAGACAACTTTCGCAGACTGAACTACTGCTACCCCTTAAAGCCACAGACCCGTAATGCTTAGCAGGACATCCGCGACCCCTTTTCCAAGGCCGGGCAGTGCCATAGGATCGAGGAAATCCCCCCCCCTCCCCCCCCCTGCCCCAAGGAGATGATGGGACCCGTCAAGTTCGGGCTTCGGGTTTGGTAAGTTTTCATTGGTTGGAGTTGGACCCGAAGTGCCTCAACAATTATCAACCGACTCAGCGACATACCACAAAAGGACCTTACAGGAAGTTGCTTCCCCCATATGTTCTTCTTTTGAGGACTTTCCCATTTCCAAGGGTATGGCATCGGGGCACGCACGAAATGTTTTTAGGCAAGGGGCGCCTCGCCAGAACATAATTTGCTGGGCGAAGCCCGTGTCAGCATTTGGCTTTGGGTGTGTCTCCTAAACCCTAAACCCTATAAACCCTATCAATTACTATAAGCCCTAAACCCTAAACCCTCTAAACCCAATATATTACCATAAGCCCTAAACCCGAAACCCCGCTTTCACTGTGCAGAGGCCTGGTGTTCTGTCAAGAGCCAAGAAGGTGAGCACCATAAACCCTCCCAACGGATCCTCTCCCCAAGCCAGAAAGCCCAAAGCTGTCCGAGTCACCCTGACTTCATCAAACCCACAGCCCCAG